CAAGCAAATAGAAAAAAAGATGGCGGGTGGGGCCAATTTGACTCGTTCGACTCAAAAACCACGACTAGTCAATTGAGTCACTCGACTCAGCCAACTAGTCGAGTCAACATGTTGAGTCGACCTGCCCGTTGCGACTCGTCGACTAGTCGCCACACTGCCCTTCATAAATAGTAATCCCTCCGTCTGGGTGCAAAGGGCGTGCGTGTGTTTCTAGGTGACAATTTTACAAATATGTATTATATGTGACAAAAATTATATGTTTAGAAACTTCATCCATAGACAAATCCAATGATATGATTTTGGTGACATATAGCATACATTTGGTTGGTTAAATTGACAACCTAGAAACACGCTCACGCCCTATGCGCCCAAACGGAGGGCGTATGTGAACAGTGTTTCTCGGAAATGACTAGAACATGCCATTATTATGGAATAGGAAGTTTCTGAGCTGCCAGAATGAATTTTTGCAGGCAACAGAAATTACAAGCACACAACAGTTTAAGGTGCTGGTTTTACACACATATTAACAGCATAATTTTGGAATTTGTTAATACGGGAGGAAGAAAGGGCATAAAGAACTTACCAAGCACACAGTCTTGCTCTTCTCCACAATCAATTAGCATCTTATCTTTTACTAAATCTGCATCGTTCAGACTAACCCCTGGACGACCAAATGGGCTGAATGTCTTCAATGAGTACCGCTTAAGCCCCTTGCTTGTGTCTAAAAACTTATTTTGACTGCAGTAGCTAGCAGTGCATAATCAAGTTAACAAAATTTGAAAACAAAAAGGCCAATCAGCCAGGCTGAAATTATGCTATATGTTGGCACGAAAAATGACCCATATGGTACTCAACAGGGCGATAGAAATCCTGATCTTCTAGCACGATAATCTCAATATTTGCACCTTTTTCCTAGGACTAATCAAATACCGATAGTTTCCTTATCACTTTTACTAATCTGATTTTCGGTCATACGTCATAATCTTATAGGAGATGAAAACAATAAGCGCTCACTTATCTGTCATGACGGTCTATTTGCATCACAGCATCAGCAAGAAGTAAGGGGTTAATAAGCATTAATGTCAGGAGCACATCAAACGTGTTGGTAGACCGTCATTTTGAAATTTCAATCCCCTTTGCCTCCATCCCCGTTGGTAGACCACACCTGCCAAACAACCTAGCTTGGGTGCAGTGACACAGAACTAGCTCGAACCTGTCGCTTACTATATTAATAACTTGAAAACAAGCTACATGCAAATCGACGATATGAAGTTGGAAATGAAAGAAGCTAGCTAAGTTCAACTCACACTCGCTAAATCTTACCCAACATTCTTGCTCTCGCCCATCAACTACTATAATTCCAGGCATAGGGATTCTTCACCTTTGTAGGGCTTGGTTATGGATCATCATGAACGTGGGTAAACTTGTAACTCGACAACCCAGCCATAAATAACTGTCCAACGAGCTATATTCTCCAAACCAACATAACCCCAGCAAAATCTAGCAGCACCCTCAAGGATACAAAGTCTAAATCTCACAAGTCCACGGTTTGGGAAGGCGTTTAAGGACCAGTTCTTTTGAGGCTTATGGCTGGCTGTGGAAATAAGCTGTCCCTTCCCCGGCTTAAGCCCAACCTAAAATTTTATTTTAGAAGACTGCTAATTAAAATCCGAGCTGCTCATCCTAACCGAAAGATATAAATAAAATATGTTAAAACAGTTATAATTCTACACCAACGGTGTAGGTATCACCACCTGTCACGAACGGCCGGCAGTTCAAGCGTTCTGTCGAACAGCTTGCGCGCGCAGACGCATGGGAAGCGAGACCTCCTCCCACATCAACGCAAAGGATGGAAAAGGCAAGCAAGCGTGGAGAGGATAGAAGGCAACTGTTTCGTTACCTGAAGCGCCGGCCGGTTGGCGGGAGGAAGTGAGGAGCCCCGGCGGCCGCGGGCGGGCGTCCACGGGGGCGGAGGAGAGGCGGGCAGTGGGAAACCGGAGAGGGGGAGGAGGAGGAGCGGAAGGTGCAGGCGAGCGCGGCGGTGCACCCCCGCTCCATCCCAACACGCGGGTGCGGTGCGATGTGATGCGGCCCACTCCTGTCCTGTGTTCCTTTGCAGGTTCGCCGCCTGTGCTGTGCTTCGTTGGCTCGCTGCTTGTTTCGCGTCTCCGCCTTCGCACCTTCTTCTAGGTTCGGGTCGGAACGGAGGTAGAGGCGCGAGCAGGTTCCGCCGGACCACGGTCGGACATGGGTGTGTCCGGCAATTTTTTCTTTTCTCGAATGTATGTGTCCGGCAGTCTGCTCTGATTTTTTACACTGTCACGAGTCACGACTACTGTAGCTGCCAAAAAAAAGTGTGGCAAAAAATATATGCAGCACATGTAATTCTAAATCTCTTGCTCTCTCACTTTGATGCTATTTCTCACAAGATTTCTGATGAGATGAATGACGATCTTTGTAAGCCATACACTAATGAGGAAATCAAGACTGCACTTTTTCGAATGGGGCCTACGAAAGCTCTCGTTCCGGATGGTTTTCCGGCTCTCTTCTACCAGACCCACTCGAACTTCTTAGGTAAGAAAATTGGCTAGCCTATCAGGAGTTCTTTGGAAGGGAAGCCTATTCGGAATCCAAAAGACACTTTGGAGGACGGGAGCATTGGAGCACTGTATTTTGAATAGTGCCAAAATGCTTTTTTGAACTTTCAAAAATTTCTGAAAATAAATCAACACGTTTATATGGATGTGGATTACACATGTACAAATTTTGATGTTGAAATAAGTAACCATGTGAGTTACACGAAGAAGACAAAATTGTGATTTTGGAAAGATGAACAATGCATGCATTATTCACTATTTGGAAAACACCATTTTGTCATTTTTGTATAGCTCACATGTTTACTTATTTCATCACCAAACTTTACACATGTGTAATATACATCCATATGATGACACAGAATTATTTTCGGAATTTTTCAAAACTTTAAATGTGATTTGTAAAGTATTTAAAGTAAGGTCCTCCAATACACCCGGACTCTGAAATCCACTTGTCGGAGTAAATGACCACGGGTAGCCTAACCGGCTCCCTTTGGCCCTCAGAAAAAACAATGGGCCGACCGAGCCTTGAAGCGCCCAAGACGTGGGGCCGCCTTCTTCCGGCCGGTTATCACATAGGCCGGCTGGCGGAAGGCGGCCCGGCCATAAACAATCTTTGGGGGACGCTACAACAGGACCGCCTCCAAGAAAGCCGGCCCATGAAGGACCGACTCTAAGAAAGCCGGCCCATGAAGGACCGTGTCGGTGTCAAAACCGGCAGATCTCGGGTAGGGGGTCCCGAACTGTGCGTCTAGGCGGATGGTAACAGGAGACAAGGTACACAATGTTTTTACCCAGGTTTGGGCCCTCTCGGTGGAGGTAAAACCCTACTCCTGCTTGATTGATATTGATGATATGGGTATTACAAGAGTTGATCTACCACGAGATCAGAGAGGCTAAACCCTAGAAGCTAGCCTATGGTATGATTGTTATCTGTCCTACGGACTAAAACCCTCTGGTTTATATAGACACCGGAGAGGGCTAGGGTTACACAGAGTCGGTTACAATGGGAGGAGATCTTCATATCGTATTGCCAAGCTTGCCTTCCACGCCAAGGAAAGTCCCTATCCGGACACGGGACGAAGTCTTCAATCTTGTATCTTCATAGTCCGGGAGTCCGGCCAAGGCTATAGTCCGGCCATCCGGACACCCCCTAATCCAGGACTCCCTCAGTAGCCCCTGAACCTGGCTTCAATGATGACGAGTCCGGCGCGCAAATTGTCTTCGGCATTGCAAGGCGGGTTCCTCCTCCGAATACTTCATAGAAGATGTTGAACACAAGGATAGTGTCCGGCTCTGCAAAAATAAGCTCCACATACCACCGTAGAGAGAATAATTTCCGCACAAATCTAATCCGCTGACGTACTCCGCAGCGTGACATTATGCCACGGTTAAGCCTTTATTCAAATCGTTTTACTGTTCCACCTCATCGTGTTTAGCGAGGCGGTTTCCTTGGCACGTCTTGTCGAAGCAGAGATCGTGTCCCCTTATTCCGGGATTCTCATCAATACGGGCGTGGGTAACCCAACCGCGCCATTAACCGTGACGCTTGGGGGATAAGCGGGTTTTATTAGGCCGGTGGGGGCTCGTAGTTTCGGCCGCCCATATAAGGGGATGAGGATCTACCCTTTCCATTTACGCCTTCTTCCTCCTGTGCTTATCCGTCCCTGCGTACTCGAGCTCCAACGCCCAAGCCCGCACTTCCCACCTCAACCTTCTCCAATCATGTCTGGAGCGGGAGGTAGATGGATGGCCTCCTCCGTTACGGAGGGGCAAATCAAAAAGTTGAGGAAGGCCGGATACTTGTCTGTCGACATCGTGCACTAGCTTCCAGATGAGGGGCAACTCATCCCCACCCCTAGGCCCCATGAGAGGGTTGTATTTCTTTCCCATTTACTCCGCGGACTAGGCTTTCCTCTTCACCCGTTCGTCCGGGGGCTCATGTTTTACTATGGCCTGGACCTCCACGATCTGGCCCTGAACTTCATCCTCAACATTTCGGTGTTCATCGTCGTGTGCGAGGCCTTCCTCTGCATCCAACCCCACTTCGGCTTATGGCTGAAGACTTTTAATGTCAAGCCGAAAGTAGTGCGCGGCCACCAAGCAGAGTGTGGAGGTGCCATGGCGGGCCGGATGGCCAACGTCCTATGGCTCGAGGGCTCCTGTGTGGAGACAATAAAGGGGTGGCAATCGGGATGGTTCTACATCACCGAGCCGCGTGACCCCAAATGGGCGGCGGCCCCCGAATTCCGATCTGGTTTCCCCACACGGCTTACCTCCTGGAAAGAGACGGGCCTGACATGGGGAGATTCGGAAGAGCTGACCGGACTCCAAGCCTGCGTCCAAAAGCTGGTGAACAAGAATCTCAAGCTTGTCAACATAGTCCAGGTCATGCTCATACGCCAGATCCTCCCGTGCCAACAACGGGCCTTCAAATTGTGGGAGTGGGATCCGGCGCAGCACCAAACCTTGAGCGGGCTCTTCGACACTACGTACGAAGATGCCTGGAGGGTGCTATTCAAGGGCGCCGAGGCTCCCGCATCCACTACCGAAGATCGCGGATTCAGCTCGCCGCGTAAAGCCGACGAGGTAAGCTATTTCACCCTTTACAGGACACTTTTTCATAGTTTGACACTATGCGGGATCTAAACTCCCTCACCTTTGACAGGACTGGCTGAAGAAGGTCGAGCAGGTTAAATGTCCGGCTCCTTTGCCAGAAGACCCAGCAGACGCACGCTTGACGGGGCTGCTGGTTCCGGCACCTCATATGGTGCCGGAGAAGAAGGCCAAGAAGAAGGCCACGGGAACTCGAAAGAGTTCCCGTCGTCAGGTGTTATCAGACTCATCATCTGATGACTCCGAGGCGGACTCCTCCCGCGAAGACGAGGAGGAGAAGAAAGAGGCTTCTCCCCCATCAGGGGGAGAGAAGAAAAGGAAGGCCTCCCCAACTAGGGAGGCCGGGGGGGTCCAAGAAGGGAAGGACCCTTCCTCCGGACTACTCTACCAACGCCGACGACAGCGAAGAGGAGTGGCCCTCGAGGGCCAAGCCCCTGGCGAGATCGTAAGTGTCCGGATTCCAAAATAACTCATGATTTTTTATTTGTCGCATAATGTCTTCTAACACCGAATACAACCATGTAGCCCGCCCAAGGATGAGTTTCCCGCTTCGTTGAGCGGCTCCCTGGGTTCATCGGATGTGAATAGTACTTCACTTCCGACGGCCTCCTCCCCTCGCGACGCAGAAGACGCCGTGGCGGAGTCCCGAAAGGGGCCCAACCAGGAGGAGGTGGTCCTGGAGGCGCCACAAGTCAACCTCCCGGACACCGGGCGCAAGGGGGCTAAAACCCCAGAGTGCTATAAGTCTGGCCCTGTGCCGGACTCTGTGCCGGAACCTTCAGTGGTTCCGGAGTCTTGCGGGCGGCCCCTTCGCAAGAAGGGCAAGACTGCGACGCCGGCGGCCTCCGTCCAACCGGAGGCGCCGGATAATCTGCTGGAGGCGCTTAATGGCACCTCCGTCGACAAGGAGCATCACACTGTTATGAGTGCGATGATCCGAAAAGTTCAATCCGCCAAGAGCGGGCTGACTGAAGCCTGTACCAGACTTCGAACAGGCTTTAAGGTAAGTTTTTAGGATATGTAAGAATATTACCGCATAGACAGTAGCCCCTGATGCTTGGTTTGGTGTTTGGAAAGAAAAGCTAAGCTGAGAATCTAAAAAGATATACGCATGAGTCTAACAGGAATATGTCAATATGGGAATGCAGGCTGCGCTGCTAACCTCTGCCGCACTGACTACGGAGGTCAATGCATTGAAGCAGAGCCTCGAGCGGTCCGAGAACGAGCTCGGCCGTGCCAGGAAGCAGCTCGAGGACAAGGAAGGTAAGTGATACCTTATTAAAGTAGTACCTTATAGAAAAGGATTTGGTTGCAAAAAATGACAGGAATAACGTGGGTATCGCAGGGGCCACGAATGAGGTGGCGACCCTGAAGGAGGCAGTGTCCAAGGCCGAAAGCAGTGCGGCCTTGGAGCGCACCGAGCGAGAGAAGCAAGAGGCACGGGTGGCGGAGGTGCGGCAAGAGCTCCAGGCTCTCGTGGAAAAACATGAGGGCTTGGAGCGTGACTCGAAGACTCGAGAGTCCGAGCTTGCCTCGGCTCTTGAGAGTGCCAAAGCCGCCAAGGCCGAAGCCCAAAAAGCCCTCCAGGAAATTGAGACGATAAAGAAGATAGCGGAGGGTAAGGCCTTCTCATGCAAAGAAAGCACGTGAAAGTGAATTATTTGTTACTTACCCAAATCCGGAGCTCTCCAAGGGCTTTCGCAGATCTGCCCCGCAGTGTGTCCAATGCTGCCGTATTCTACCGGGCCGAGGAAGGAAGCTCGACGGAGAAGGTATTCTGGTCTCAGTATGCTGAGGCTGGACATCTAGTGCCCCTGAGCGACCAGCTAAAGCAGCTGGTCGAGCTCC